CAGGAGACAGCATAGCATAAATAGTGAGTGATAACAACTGATTGCAGATTTTGAATATTACCATTAATAAAATTTAATTTGATAAATTGAATAACCTATCACAAATTTTCCTTTAAAATCAAATAAAAATCGTTCCGGAAAGAAATATATCGAGTAAGATATGAAACTTGTTCGTTAGTTTTGCTAAAATTTAAAAGTTCAGGCTTAATTTACTAAAAGACAAAAGAGTTGAAGTGAAAAGTGACAGCTTTAGAGTTGACATTTTGAATTATCAGTTAATTCAGAAAAGTATAAAAATGACTTTGAAAAAAATCAAGATCAAAAATAATCCTACCTTAAAAATATTTTCGAATCCATATTGATCATTTTTAAATGATACTGGTTTGGTTCCATGGTTTTAATGGTTTGAATGGTTTCAAAGGTTTTCAGTCTATCAAAAATAACCAAAAGACAACAAAAAAACCCGTTCAATGCACCTATTGAACCATTCATTTATCATATGACAATTTCAATTTCCTTTGATTGTTTTTTTTTTGCTAAAATAAAACAACCAAAGCAGAACATTCAGATTATCATATAATTACTTGTCATTAAATCTTAAATTCACTAATTAGTCATCTTTTAGATCGAATTGTAAAGACCGATACGACGCAAACCTCAGCCCGAATGTTTTTTTGGTTTTCCTCTCATTTCAAGGTGTTATTATCTTTGACCTTCGTTAACCTTCGTCAAAGTACACATCAGAGAATTTTCTGTGATGAATAAATTAAAATGCATGTCCAGTGGAAATTTTGAACTTTTGTCGCTTCTTTTTAGGAAGAAATATTCGTTGACAAAATAATGTCACGGTAAAAAGCAAATGTTTTAGAAGAGAATATTGAAGATTAAAGCAATTTGTGTCATTCGAAGGAAAACAAATGTCGCATATTTTATGCTATTCACTGAATGAAATAAAACTGAGTGTCACATTATTGAAATCGATGACAGAGACATATGATCTATAATGTGGAAAATAAAGGAGAGACAAAGTTTATATAGCAAAATATGCAACGTATCAGCATTAATTAGCAAGAGATAACAAAATTAGTATCCATATGATTTCATTTATTTGATATGTGAGGAAGAGTATCAAAAGAATTGCAATTTGAAATTGAGTTGAAATCATTGTTGCGAGAATTTTGAAAAATAAAATATTTGAATGGCACAACAAAAAAAAATAAAATAAAATAAAATTTCAGTTCAAGTTTACAACAACAATACAACAGAATAAAACTAAAAATGAGGCCATATCAAAAATCATACAACATTAAATCATTCATGTATCTGAATCGATACATCATCTCTGATTTCATATAATTTTCATTTTCAAACTTTTATGATGCAAAGTTGATTCATCATAGTACCATCTGGCAGTGATACCATCGTTCTAAACTGATATGGAAAATTAAAAAAAAAAAACAGTTTCATTATAATATTTCATTCACATTAAAATGATTAATTTGATTACCAAAATACTTGTAGCTCATTCATACGACTCAATAAATTGTTTATCCCGATAATGAATTAATTAAAATTTACCACTTATATCTCAAATGATCCAAATTCATAAACTTACCGCTACGGTAACAATTTCAGCATCATATGGATGCCAAGAGCAATCATGTACTACATTTCGATGTCCATTCAAAATGTCATCTTTATTTGTCAAAATATCAAATACTACAATTCAAATTATCAATTAGCAATTTTCATATTTAATAGAAAATCATTTAACTTTCATAATTATTGAATATCGAAGAATTTTTATTCCACTAAAAAGCACCTCTCAACTGAACAGAATATTTCAGCAATCATTTTCTTCTAGAAATTACGAAATTCACTGACTCAGTTCAGAACCAAATATAGCTAAGCTTATAATTTAGGCCTAATATGACTAGACACACAGATTAGGCCCAACATTGTTGGGCATGCTTAATATAAATGGACGCACAGGTTAGGCATATAATTTGAGCCTAGTATGACTAAGTATTAGCTAAAGCCAAAAATACTAATCACTTTTGCCATATCTATTGAATTCAAAGAATCCATTTATCTTGGCTAACTTCATCTTTTGATGATACAAGGCTTTGTTACATTTTAATGCGACATATATTATTGACATCGCTCATGCTAAAAACCTAACTGTGTACTGTTCCTCGAGATCTACCGGTATAAACATAGCGATTTCCCGTTCTTTCTGGTGAAAAATATGACTGTACTAAATGATGAAAATTTGTTTGTCCTTCAAACGTCAATATTGATGTATCGACTAAAGAAAAAGTGAGAAAATTCTTTTTTTTTAATCAAGCAATAATAAGATATTGTTAGAGTAAAACAAGTTAAACAAATACCGTATATCAGTATCATGAAAAATAAAAGTCTACGTTAACTGTGCCACGTTTATAATTCACTTATTAAATTAAATTGTCATCAAATATTCTTGTTGCAAATTATCAACATAATCAATGATAATTTTAAAGTATATTTGTAAAAATATTTATGGAAATGTCTTCAAGCTAAATACTAAAATAAGCTATTGTTCTTTGCTGTATAAGATAAAGAAAATAAAATTTCAATTTAATTAATAACCTTTCGCGCCAACTTGTCCTGGCTGATCTGTTATCTCCCTGTTATCCTGAAGTAGAATCCCTTTATAAAATAGGAAAAGCATAATAGATTTTTCATTAATATAATATAATCCGAAATTCTTTTAAGCATAATAATGATAACAGTGATTTTATCAGCATATAATAATGATTTACAAAGTACTAACTATCCTGGGACTATCAACCAATCCGGGAATTATTATCAACTAATCTGCTAACTACTCTGGGATTATCAACCAATCCGGGAATTATTATCAACTAATCTGCTAACTACTCTGGGATTATCAACCAATCCGGGAATTATTATCAACTAATCTGCTAACTATTCTGGGATTATCAACATTCTAACTTCAACCGACCATTATCATTTTCTGAGATTCAAGTGAATGATAAAAAAAGTTTTGATTGATTAACATACATGGGAAAAACGACGAAAATCCCAAATTTTAACAGTTTCATCGCCACCAGTTGATGCAAGATATCTATCCAAACAATCACCATCAAGTGAAGTAACTGGAGAAATATGTCCAGTAAAACGA